TATAAATGTCTTTACTGTCACTTCTGATCAATTTAATGTGCCCTTAATTTATTTATTTTAATTTCCCCAAACTTTTGAATGGCAGAGCAGCAAATCAGCATATTAGAATGATTTCTGAAGATCATGTGACACTGAAGACTGGAGTAATGATGCTGAAAATACAGCTGCACATCACAGAAATAAATTACAGTTTAACACATTCACAAAGAAAACTATTTGAAATTATAATAATATTTCACAGTTTTTACTGTACTTTTATCAAATAAATGCAGCCTTGGTGAGCAGAAGAGACTTATTTCGGAAACATTAAAACATGTACACCATCAGCCTTCGTTGTTGAAGTTGGTGTGAAATGCGATCTGGATGTAAAGCCGCGCTGAAGAAGGTTAGACTCTTACGCTGTCGGCAGTCGTTGAGCAAATCTCCCAGACCTTCTCCAGTAAACACGGGGTGTAGATCTTCAGACAGTTCTTCATCCAGTTCTGCATGTGAACAAACCAATGGTTAATGATTCAGCACTCGATCATCAGACCGAACGAATCTCCGTCACAGCGGTCTCAGATCCTCACCTCAAACTTGGCTCTCTTGCGCGGCACGTTATCGTGAGTGCTGACCATCTGCAGGACCTTCCACACGCTGGGATCAATGTCGGGCTGCTCCATGGCCTGCTGGATCCTCTGGAGAAGAAGAACACACACGTGAGTGACCAGACAAACCCATCAAACCTTCACAGACGTTCAGCTCCGCTCACCTGAATCCACTGCTGCTGCTTCACATCACCCTTGTTCGCCTTCGCCTGGAAGTCTTTACCGCCGTACTTCTGGTCTTCACTGATGCACTTGTTGTGGTTCTTGTAATCGTCACCCCTGTGAACAAACACATCACGCACTCACCGTCATCATCACACACAATCAGCATCAGCACGACACACTCACCGTCACCACCACACACACTCACCGTCACCACCACACACGCTCACCATCATCACGACACTGTAGGGATTTCTTAATATGAACAGACACTGATATCAGCATTCACAAGGTTTGCTAATCACCCAGCACATGAATCCCATATTCTTGGTTGATTTCCTGTCAGTATGGTAAACTCATCTACTCATGAGATCGAAACTAATTCGATCAGGAGACGACAAAGCTTTCTTGGTATCAAGGACTGAAAGAGTTCATTCATCACCACACAGGCCCACCATCATCACCACACACGCTCACCATCACCACACACGCTCACCATCATCACCATCACCACCACACACGCTCACCATCATCTCACACACACACACACACTCACCATCATCACCACACACGCTCACCATCATCACCACACACGCTCACCATCATCACCACACACGCTCACCATCATCACACACTCACCCTCATCACCATCACAAGCTCACCGTCATCACCACACACACTCACGCTCACCATCATCACAAGCTCACCATCATCACCACACACACTCACCATCATCACCACACACGCTCACCATCATCACCACACACGCTCACCATCATCACACATGCTCACCACCATCACCATATCACCACACACGCTCACCATCACCACACACTCACCATCATCGCACACACTCACCATCATCACACACACTCACCATCATCACACACACTCACCATCATCACACACTCACCCTCATCACCATCACAAGCTCACCGTCATCACCACACACACTCACCATCATCACCACACACGCTCACCATCACCACACACTCACCATCATCGCACACACTCACCATCATCACACACACTCACCATCATCACACACACTCACCATCATCACACACTCACCCTCATCACCATCACAAGCTCACGCTCACCATCACACACACTCACCGTCATCACCATCACAAGCTCACCATCATCACACGCTCACCATCATCACAAGCTCACCGTCATCACCACACACGTTCACCATCATCACCACACACACTCACCGTCATCACCATCACAAGCTCACCGTCATCACCACACACACTCACCGTCATCACCACACACGCTCACCGTCACCACCACCACACGCTCACCATCATCACACATGCTCACCATCATAAGCTCACCATCATCACCACACACGCTCACCATCATCACACATGCTCACCATCATCAACACCACACGCTCACCAGCAGCACGGTCGGGCGTCTGATTGCATACTGACCCGTCAAAAGCGTGCGAGTTTACAGCAAAACGCACGTCCTCAACATGTGATTTGCCATAAAAACTTAACGTTCTTAACGTGTGCTTTGGGGTCACGGAAAACGTGCGTCGGAAACGTTCTTTTTGCCTGTTTGGACACTTCAAATATATGTTTGCACTGCCTGTTTGGTTTACCTGTTTACATGGTCATAACGTGCGTTTTGTCCTACTCAAAACGCACGTATTCGACACCCATTTTTTGTTATGATAAACGCACGTCACAAACACACGTTTTCAGTGACTCCAAAGTGCGCGTCAAGAACGTGCGTTTTTATAGCAAATCACACGTGGAGGATGCGCGTTTTGCTGTAAAATCGCACGCTTTTGACGGGTCAGTGTGCAATCAGACACCCGACCAAGCGTATATGAATACTCTGGCTTGCCATATCATCACACGCTCCCCATCAGCGCAACACTAGGGCTGGGACGATAAATCGATACAGAATCGATTCTTAGATTTTCAGAATGCATCGCGATTCCTCTTGAATCGATTCTGAGCTTAGATTTTAACAGCAGATGGCGCTCTACTCTAGTTTTTATCCGCACACTCAAATGCTGATGAAGAAGAGCTGAAGAGCGCTTGTGTGTTCGGCTGAGTCTGTAATTCCACCTCGGCTCAGAATGCTTTTATGACGCCAGATTAATGTAAACTCAGCCCACTGTGAACACCCTTGTGATTCGCTTCAACCTTTTCGAATCTTATGAATGATTATTTTAGGTTCAAGTGTGTGTAAGGATTTGGAAACGAACAGAGTATGGTTGTTTCTAAAGCATGCAGCGCCATCTGCTGTTCAAAACTAACCTCAGAATCCACTCGAGAAAGAATCGCCATGCATTCTGGAAATCTCAGAATCTTATCTTATTCTTATCTTATCCTACGCAACACAGGCTGAACAGCAGAGAAACTCCTACCAGAAGTCTTTGCTGCAGTCGATGCAGGACAGAACCTGACAGGCGCGGCACTTCAACACGTGTTTCTCCACTTGAGCTTTCTTCAGAGACTCGCCGCAGGCGCCACACGTGAAGACCACCATCCTGAAGACCTGAGAGGAACACACACGCCTTCAGTCGCACTGCATCCACTGAGTGCGGGATGTAATGTTATATCACAGATAATGATTCATGTTACCTTAATCAAGCTGATCTGTGATTCTCTGATGAAGAGCAGCGGAACTCCAGCGGCTGATCTCTAATTATCTCCTTCACACGCGGGTTAATATATCACTCAGTGATTCGGTTCGCCGGTCCGGTTCTCTTGAGCCCCGTGAGCGAGTCTCCGGTATGAACTGAACTTGTCGTTGTTTAAAGTAAAAACACGCGACTGAAACACGCGCGAGTGTCTTGAAACACGCGGTGCCGCTCTGTTTTCGCTCTGAACGGAAACAGGAAACAGGAAATAATACAAGCTCCGCGAACACATGAACAAAAAACACAACAACAGAACGGGGATTTAGGAAAAGAAATAAACGTTTGTATATGGGTAAAATGAATATGAATTTTTTTTTTATTTGTTATCAGTCTATATGTATTTTTAATTAATATTTTTTATTCAAATATTTTCATTTTAATGTATATAATTTTGTTATGTGCTTTTGTAATTTTTATTACATTTGGGGGGGTACTATGCATGTTTGTTTCATTTTTATTTCAGTTTTAGCTTTTTATTTATTTCTAATTAGTAATTTTAGTGCTTCAACTTACACATAGTTGACAATTCTCTTTTTCGTTTAGTATAAGTTTTTCATCTAACATTTATAATTTATTTGATTTGCGCTTTTTTTTTAATTTACAAAAAAAGTTAACAAAGACCCTAAATGGAATATGGAAAAAAAATACAACTCATAATAAATGACAACGCAGTATAAGGCGTTTTTTTTTTTTTTAAACAAAACCTAACCTACCAGTAACAAAGTGTATTTTATAATTCTGAATGTATAATCTGCGTTAAAATCAGACAGAACGCGTAAAAAAAAAAAAGACTTTTATTGTGAAAAGAGGAAATGACGTGATGCGCCCAGTGCCTGTTTATCCGCGTGAAAGGTAAGATGAGAGCATCTTTCTTCATTCTGCTTTATATACACACGCGGGTTGCTTTCACTATATTACTATAGTTATTCTCGTAGACAAACGGTTTTATACAGAGGCAATGAATGATATTTAGTAAGTGTGAAACTAACCAAGCCTCACATTAAGCTGCTGGAGATACGAAACATGATGAACTGCGTCTGCGCAGATGGACAGCGTGAGCAGCCACAGCGTGTACGTGCTGCAGCAGCTGCAGGAGCAGCGCATCCAGGGCCTGCTGTGTGACTGTATGCTGGTGGTGAAGGGCGTCAGCTTCAAAGCGCACAAGAACGTGCTCGCCGCCTTCAGCGCGTACTTCAGGTGAGGCCTGCGTGACGTCAGCGGCGCGCTCCCTCCCTCCCGCTCGCGCTCACCTGGACGCACCTGTGCTCCGCAGGTCTCTGTTCCAGAACTCTCCGGCGCAGAAGAGCGTTGTCTTCCACCTGGCCATCCAGGACGTGGGCGGCATCGGGCAGGTGCTGGACTACATGTACACCTCACACCTGGAGCTCAACCAGGACAACGTACACGCGCTGCTGGAGATCGGACAGAGCCTGCAGGTCACACACACACTCTCACACACACTCTCACACTCACACACACTCACACTCTCACACTCACACACACTCACACTCTCACACTCACACACACTCACACTCTCACACTCACACACACTCACACTCTCACACTCACACACACTCACACTCTCACACTCACACACACTCACACTCTCACACTCACACACACTCACACTCTCACACTCACACACACTCACACTCTCACACTCACACACACTCACACTCTCACACTCACACACACTCACACTCTCACACTCACACACACTCACACTCTCACACTCACACACACTCACACTCTCACACTCACACACACTCACACTCTCACACTCACACACACTCACACTCTCACACTCACACACACTCACACTCTCACACTCACACACACTCACACTCTCACACTCACACACACTCACACTCTCACACTCACACACACTCACACTCTCACACTCACACACACTCACACTCTCACACTCACACACACTCACACTCTCACACTCACACACACTCACACTCTCACACTCACACACACTCACACTCTCACACTCACACACACTCACACTCTCACACTCACACACACTCACACTCTCACACTCACACACACTCACACTCTCACACTCACACACACTCACACTCTCACACTCACACACACTCACACTCTCACACTCACACACACTCACACTCTCACACTCACACACACTCACACTCTCACACTCACACACACTCACACTCTCACACTCACACACACTCACACTCTCACACTCACACACACTCACACTCTCACACTCACACACACTCACACTCTCACACTCACACACACTCACACTCTCACACTCACACACACTCACACTCTCACACTCACACACACTCACACTCTCACACTCACACACACTCACACTCTCACACTCACACACACTCACACTCTCACACTCACACACACTCACACTCTCACACTCACACACACTCACACTCTCACACTCACACACACTCACACTCTCACACTCACACACACTCACACTCTCACACTCACACACACTCACACTCTCACACTCACACACACTCACACTCTCACACTCACACACACTCACACTCTCACACTCACACACACTCACACTCTCACACTCACACACACTCACACTCTCACACTCACACACACTCACACTCTCACACTCACACACACTCACACTCTCACACTCACACACACTCACACTCTCACACTCACACACACTCACACTCTCACACTCACACACACTCACACTCTCACACTCACACACACTCACACTCTCACACTCACACACACTCACACTCTCACACTCACACACACTCACACTCTCACACTCACACACACTCACACTCTCACACTCACACACACTCACACTCTCACACTCACACACACTCACACTCTCACACTCACACACACTCACACTCTCACACTCACACACACTCACACTCTCACACTCACACACACTCACACTCTCACACTCACACACACTCACACTCTCACACTCACACACACTCACACTCTCACACTCACACACACTCACACTCTCACACTCACACACACTCACACTCTCACACTCACACACACTCACACTCTCACACTCACACACACTCACACTCTCACACTCACACACACTCACACTCTCACACTCACACACACTCACACTCTCACACTCACACACACTCACACTCTCACACTCACACACACTCACACTCTCACACTCACACACACTCACACTCTCACACTCACACACACTCACACTCTCACACTCACACACACTCACACTCTCACACTCACACACACTCACACTCTCACACTCACACACACTCACACTCTCACACTCACACACACTCACACTCTCACACTCACACACACTCACACTCTCACACTCACACACACTCACACTCTCACACTCACACACACTCACACTCTCACACTCACACACACTCACACTCTCACACTCACACACACTCACACTCTCACACTCACACACACTCACACTCTCACACTCACACACACTCACACTCTCACACTCACACACACTCACACTCTCACACTCACACACACTCACACTCTCACACTCACACACACTCACACTCTCACACTCACACACACTCACACTCTCACACTCACACACACTCACACTCTCACACTCACACACACTCACACTCTCACACTCACACACACTCACACTCTCACACTCACACACACTCACACTCTCACACTCACACACACTCACACTCTCACACTCACACACACTCACACTCTCACACTCACACACACTCACACTCTCACACTCACACACACTCACACTCTCACACTCACACACACTCACACTCTCACACTCACACACACTCACACTCTCACACTCACACACACTCACACTCTCACACTCACACACACTCACACTCTCACACTCACACACACTCACACTCTCACACTCACACACACTCACACTCTCACACTCACACACACTCACACTCTCACACTCACACACACTCACACTCTCACACTCACACACACTCACACTCTCACACTCACACACACTCACACTCTCACACTCACACACACTCACACTCTCACACTCACACACACTCACACTCTCACACTCACACACACTCACACTCTCACACTCACACACACTCACACTCTCACACTCACACACACTCACACTCTCACACTCACACACACTCACACTCTCACACTCACACACACTCACACTCTCACACTCACACACACTCACACTCTCACACTCACACACACTCACACTCTCACACTCACACACACTCACACTCTCACACTCACACACACTCACACTCTCACACTCACACACACTCACACACACACACACTGACTCACTCACACACACACACACACACACTCATTCACTCACTCACCTCACTCACACACACATATACACACACACACACACTCACATATATACACACACACACACTTGCTTACACACTCACTCACATATATACACTCACACACACACACTCTCACACACACACACACACACACACTCATTTACACACACTTGCTCACACACTCACTCACATACACACACACACACACTTCATGCTTCCATGCCAGAAAATTAAGGTCCTGCCCCGGACCCCAGATCCTGTCAGATAATATCAGTTTTGTCTGGTAACAGAACAACTTGTTAGCAAAGTTGCGTAATTCCCAAAATCTGTTAACAGTCTTCTATCAGCCAAGAAGTTAACTGAGGAAAAAGCCAGTGAAGAGCAGAAGCAGGAGACGAAGTGATGATAAAAAGGAGCAGAGTTTATTGAATCGTCTTATGGCGCTTTTCCACTGCATGGTTCGGTACGGTTCACTTTTGGGGGGTTTTCCACTGGGTACAGTATCTGGTACTTTTTTTAGTACCACCTCGGTTGGGGTTCCAAGTGAACCGTACCGTTACCAAAATGTGACGTGTAAACTCTGCTGATCACGGATTGGCCGGAGAGAATCGTCACTACCTGCGTCACTGAACTTGCGACACAAACACAACAGAACCGCTAGATTTAAATCAGCACAGCCAGCGAAGGATCGAACGCAACCGTTTTGAACAAGCGCACCTGTTTTAACAACCAAAAAGTGTCTGTTTTGTTGTCTGTTGCGGAAGAACAGACGTTCATTATAACATGAATAATCCCGCCCACTCTAGCGGTACTGAACTGCAGTGGAAACGCAAGCCGAGCCGTGCCACGCTGTGGAAAAGCATCATTAGTTGTGTATGTTTCAAAGCTCAGACTTCGTCTGACCAGCACAGATACTACAAGTAGTGTTATACCAAACTGATTCACAACAACATCCCATAAACCTTGAGTTTCCATAAACATCCCTCATATCTCTTATTCATGAAGACACACAGTCATAAGACTAAACAACATAAGTATAAAAAAACAATAATATAATATAAATGAGCAATCAATAAATGGATCAATGAAATTGGTATATAAATGGCTATAATGATTATTCTAAATTATTATGTGATTAAATTGAACAATAAAAATGATTAAATAATAAATGAATGAAGAATAAATAAGTGAATAAATGAATATAAAAGAAAGAAAGTAAAACACAACACAAATGAATGGTTGCTTTCTTGAAGCAAAACACACACACTGCATTTGAGGATCTTTAGATCCTTCAAGTTGACGCACTGGTACTGAACTGAATTGATTCAAAATGAAATGAACTAAATCAACATTGAGCTAAACTAAATAACTGAACTCAAATAAATCAACAGTGAACTCTGTGAATTTAGTTGAATCAACAGTGAACTTAACTGATTCAAACAACTGAAATGAAACAACATTGAACTGAGTTGAATCAACTTTGAGTTAATTAAAAAAATGAACTGAATTGTGTTAACTTTGATTAATATCTGAACTGAATCAATGACCTCAACTGAATCAATGTTGAACTGAATTGATTCAAAATGAACTCAACTTAATCAATGAACTCAACTGAATCAACATTAAACTGAATTCAATCAACTATAACTAAATTGAATCAACTATAACTGAATTGATTCAAAAAATAAACTTAAAGGGGTCATATGATGCGATTTCAATTGTTCCTTTCTCTTTGGAGTGTTACAAGCTCTTGGTGCATAAAGAAGATCTGTAAAGTTGCAAAGACTAAAGTCTCAAATCCAAAGAGATATTCTTTATAAAAGTTAAGAGTCAGCCACACCTACCTAAAACGGCTCGTTCTAACACGCCCCCACATATCTACGTCACTATGTGGGAAGATTTGCATAACGCCGCCCAAATGTTCACGCAAAGAAAGAAGGCGTAACTTTTATTCTCGCTGTAGTATTGTTGCTGCCGCCATGTCGTGAAGACGCTGTGTGCTTCGTTGTGAAAGCGAAACTACTTTGTTTGGTCTTCCAAAAGAGGACGATATCCACTTCGTCATGCCTAGAGCTGATCTGTGCTGGTCGCTGAGGAAATACATCAACTTAGTGCTGTGGATCGCCGGATCAGCTTTCACTGTGGACGAAGCGGAGTCCAGCCCGGAGTCGTCACATGCGGTTGCCGCTCCTTCGTCGAATCCACCGGCCGTTCCTCACTTTATCCCCCGGCCTCTGCTCACTGTAGGCCTTTTAGCAGCATCATATGACTCCTTTAATTGAATTAACAATGAATTGAATCAACTTTGAACTGAATTGATTCAAGAATTAATTGAACTGAATAAATAGTTTTCTGTAGAACTGCTTTTCAGCTGAAATTAAATCTCATAATTGATGGATTTTTCAACTGTTAAACTGATTAAAATCAACGTTGAAAGTGCTATAGAAATAAACGTGACTTGACCATGTTTGTAAATGCTGACGGTGTTTCAGGTGTTGAACATCCTGAACATGTGTCAGGCGTTCCTGAAGCCCTGCGTGTCGACCGACGCGGCTCTCTCTCTGCCCGCCGACGCGGCTCACGATCAGGACTGCGTGATCGGAGGATCGTTACCGTCAGACGCAGATCTGCACAAGCCCCTGCCACACGGATACAAGCTCAGGAACTTCTACACCAGACAGTATCTGAAGCAGAGCTGCAACTTCCCGCCGGAGGAGCCGCTCCAGAGCAGCATTCCCGTGGCAGACTCCGCCCACCCATGCGGCTCTGGCTCCGCCCAACCATGCGGCTTAGACTCCGCCCACCTGTGCAACTCCGACTCCACCCACCCATGCGGCCCAGACTCCGCCCAACCGTGCAACTCGGACTCCACCCACCCATGCGGCTCTGGCTCCGCCCACCCATGCAACTCCGACTCCACCCACCCATGCGGCTCTGACTCCGCCCACCTGCACATCCTACGTCCGAAGAAAACCGTTTACCTGAAGAAGTTCAACTACCTGCGCTCACACGTCAGTGCGGAGGATGAGGGGGCGGAGCACTGTGACCCACGGGGGGCCACGCCCACTCACCCCACCCACGCCTCTGATCTCTCCGTGACCTCTGACCCGGCAGAAGTGTCCGAGCTGAAGACAACACCTGCGGTGGAGACCGACGACCTGAGAGGTCACGTTGAGAGGTCAGAGGTCAGCAGCGGGAACAAGTACTGCTGTGAGGTTTGTGGAAAGACGTTCAAACATCCCAGCAACCTGGAGCTGCACAAGCGCTCACACACAGGTCAGACACACACACACACACACACACACATACACACACTCACAACTCAACTCACTCACACACACACACACAC